CACACAATGCTTCTCAGGCTTATGTGGCCTTGGGAAGTTCTATAATGGTAGTTACTCTTTGTGGAGCATTTAGCACAGAACAGGATAGTGTGAAGTACTTTATATACACTATCTTGCTTAATCAACATGACATGCCTATAAGGGAGCTGTTATTATTCCCATTTTATAGATTAGATGAAATTATTTTTCAAAACTGCAAAGCCAGCATTGAAGGTCAGGCCTATAAACCCAGGTGTTACAGGGCTCTTAGGTGTTCTTAATTGCCTCTTGGAGGTTTATGTTTTCATGATTCTGAGGATTATTTTATGTTAACATATATAAAGCAATTTTCTACAAAGGAATTCAAGTGCCTAGAACAGTTAGAGGCACCCAAAAGAAGTTTCTTAAAAGTTGAAGTTAAGGGAATTTGGTGACCTCAAATCAGGTGAAGAATTCCAAACTGCAACTCATGAGGCTAAAAACTGTGAAATGAGAGCAAGGACTGCAATATTGAACAGATGTCACTAACTACAGTTTCCAGGGGTCAGTTGACACACCACAGAAAGCACAACCCTCCCCTACCGCTGCGTTGACAAAGACATGGAATGTCTATGTCACACGAGCCAGGGGTAACCTTAGCAATTCTGCAACTACTTGGAATTACGGAGTATAAAATTTTGAAGTGTGTTTGCCTGCTGTAAATGGGTTCCTTCTGCTTTCATTTTAAATATTTTTTTTGCCGGGCGGTGGTGGCGCACGCCTTTAATCCCAGCACTCGGGAGGCAGAGCCAGGCGGATCTCTGTGAGTTCGAGGCCAGCCTGGGCTACCAAGTGAGTTCCAGGAAAGGCGCAAAGCTACACAGAGAAACCCTGTCTCGAAAAACAAAAAAAACAAAAAACAAAAAAAAAAAATTTTTTTTTAAAGCTGAACATGGAGGTGCATAATTGAAATCTAAGCACTTGAGAGGTTGATGTAGGAGACTGCAAATTTGAGGCCAGTCTGAACCACAAAGCAAAGGCATGACAACAAATAAGGAAGGAGGCAAAGACAAAATTAAAAACTACACTGGCAACATATCATTGTTATGGAACATCTGGACCGTATAATAAAAAAAGTGTGAAGAATAAAATACTTCAGATCTTGTCTTTACTCTGCAGTCTGGACTTTGTAGCATTTCCTGAAGCTGAGGGCTGGATTCTAGGTCACTAGTAAATACAAGCTGAGACAATATGATAATGGTGAGCATAATTGAAATGCATCATGTCACATGAAAGGGCATACAGCTGTATACTACCTTATCTCCTAGTATGGCTTAAGATAAAAGACTTGAAATCAAAAACTGCATTAATGCAGGTATCCACTTAATGGAAGTATACTTTTTGGTTAAATTGGCATACAGCAAGTACAATCAGAAAAGTTATTTACAGCAAAGAAACACATAATTCTGCACCTTAATGGAGTGCACACCAATTACAGCTGATGTTGGTAATAAACATAACTTCTTTGGTTTTGGTGGTTAGAAACTTCTTTTATTTTTTTATTGTTGGCAGTGGACATACCAGTTTGGGATGTGCACAAGGGTATATTTGTACTATGTAAAAAGTAATATTTATGTTCCTCCCAATTCGTTTGAGAAGCAAAGGGTAACCTGCCCATCTCTGGCTTCATGATGGATAAAAGAGAATCGCGTGGTTCAGTTTCGGAGGAACAGAGAACATCCCCAGCTTTCTTACCAAGCTAAGATTTACATATCCACATGGGTGCTCACAATGAGAAGGAACAAAGCCCCTCCAGGTGGACTGGTCTGTGCAGGATCACCTGTTCTTACTAAGCGGAAGTGAACAGTATCATTTTGTTTAGTATCACAATCCTCTTGGGCCAAGATAACCACTGTCCTTCTCATCCCTGGTAGTTTAGGGGCACACAACTAGAGCTGGAGTCACAGGGAAATGGAGAGAAAGAAGTGCCATGGCCTCCAGCAAGGAAGGCTATAATGCTCTTTTTGCTTGTGCTGTAAATTACATATTTATTTTGTTAGCATGAGATAGACGAATATTTCTACATACGAAGTTGCCCAGCTAAAATTAAGATAAGTGATATTAATGTCCTATGGTCAGTGTTATTGAACCTCAAAAGCAATAAACTTTATGAGTTGATAAATATTACATTTGCAACATAGTTAACATTCTCTTACTGTCTCAAGCACTTATTACACATTGTAACCGCAAGTCTACAATACATTATTCATATTTGGGGTGTCACCAAGTGATGGATTGCTGTAAGAGAGGCTGTCCTTTAAATAAATCAACAAATAAAAATGCAAATGTTAACATTTTCAGCCACAAACTTTTTCCATCTTGAATGGGGAATGAAAATTTCACATTATATTGACAGCCAGCAGAGAGAATAATTAAAAACCTATATCATGAATGGGAAAGATGACTGCCATGACTGTTTTCTTTGCCGTACATGGAATGATGTGAGATACTTTAGGTGTTTTCCAAGAACAAAGGAAAATGTATCTCCCCCAGCACTGAAACATGCCATCATCTTTTGCAAGCCTCTCACAAACCTTAAACATTCTTGGAATTTAGGGTGAGTAAGGCTTAAAATCTATTCTCTTCAAAGGCTTGTGGGAGGAAAAATTTCCATAATGAAAAGGTTTCCATAATGAAAAAGAAGTCTATAAAAAATGACTAGTGTACACTTTGAAATGTGAATGATTTAAATACTCTGGATTCTAATGATGGAGAAGCACCACTGTGCTGTCCTGGTAGCTCATTTTCATAGTACTGAATCATTTTCAACTCTGTACTTTATATAATACACTGATGATACGCCATTGTGCACTCCTTTAAAGATAAGATCTGGCGTGCTACACATTCTTTTGGTTAGTCAAATGTTTATTATTTACAAAGCTCCTGAGAATCAATATTTAGCTGATAAGCAGTATTAAGGACCAGTAAATGGATAATCTTTTTCTTAACATCTATAAATATAAGTATTCACAGCAATTTTAACCAGGGCTTGTAACACTCTACTATGTTGATATGATTTTCCATTCAGAAAATTTATGCTGAGGATGATTTACAAAACCCTTACAGAGAAACATTTTATTCCCATTTTTCATGCATCCCTCCAAATTAAAACTCAACCTTTACAAATACATTACAGTGTTAAAGATCACATTTTAGTGCTATGGTGTAGGTCAGGGGTGGAGTGCTTGCCTACCATGTACAAAGCCCCAAGTTTGAGCCCTAGTTCCAACTAACCAATCAACAAAATGCCATTTAAATATTCACAGTAAAATTCACTGAGGTTGAAAATCTAGACTATTAGCTGATTCTCAGCCAAGTCAATCAATATGAGCTGCATGGGAAGTTCTAAGTACAAGCTTCCAACCACAATTTGAAGTGGTACAAAACAGAAGGAGCTCGCTCCACTCTTGAGAATCACGACTCATTTGTTTCTTTAGCAAATTCCAACAATGCCATCACTAAAAGCAAGAGAGAGGGTCAGCGGAGAAAGATGGGCAAGCTAACTACTTTGATTACCCCACCTTTGCAGTAGGGAGACTGGCAACATTGGTCATTACACTACTTAAGTTAATGGCTTTGGAGTTTGAAATGCTGGCCCTGTCTTTTTTTAGCTAAGAGTCTGTTGTGTTTGAAAGAAAATGGTCCCCAAATGGAGTGGCACTATTAGGAGGTGGGGCTTTTTTGGAGGAAGTGTGTCGCTGTGAGGGTGGGCTTTGAGGTCTCTTTTGCTCAAGCTTTCCTCAGTGAGACGTTCAGTTGACTTCCTGTTGCTTGCAAGATGTAAAACTCTCAGCTCCAGCACCACCACATCTGCCTGCATGCTGCCATGGTCCCCTCATGATGATAATGGACTGAACCTCTGAAACTGTAAGCGAACCACTCCACTAAATGTTTTCTTTATAAGAGTAGCCATGGTCATGGTGTCTCTTCACAGCAATGAAAAAAATCAAAATTAAAACAGAGTCTTAGACAACACACTCAATCTCTCTGAATCATGGTTTCCCAAATTTAAAATGGGCATGAGGGTAGTCCTATCTCTACAGGTTGTGAAGACTAAATTAGACTAAATCAAAGCATTTTGCACAGTTCTGGGAACATAGCACTCAACAGGCAGACTTACTATCCTCTGCAGCAGTCACTTCTGCCTCCAGAATTAAATGCATGGCAATGAGAGCCACAGTTAGAACAAATACTGCTTCTCAAGAATGTGAGGTTTGTCTTCTGTGGCACTGTACTTATATGAGACTGGATGAAAGCTATCTCTATAGAGAAAGAAGAGTTAAAATTCTTTCCTTTCTCAAACCATAAACCAAAGGATATGTTTTATAGTATACCTTTGAAATCACCAGCCTTGAGAGCAACAATTTAGGAAATTAAACTACAAGTTAAGTCTTAAAATATATATTCATGTGATAATATGAGGGATTTAAGTGCTCCAAACCAATCTTATCCCCAAAGAAACATAAACCAAGTCCTTTGGAAACTTATGCTTCTATATATTGAGTCTTAAATATATAATATGTTAATATGTGAGTTGCTATATTAAATGTAAAAAGTTTTAAATAATAGATTTCTTTCTCTAACTCCAGAAATGGCTGGTCAAACAATTAACTTTTCTAAAGTCTCTGGTATAAGAGGACGTAAATACACCTTTAGCACAAAATCCACTGTGATTTTCAGAATTTAATCACTTAAAGTTATAGACCAAATACATTATTTTCCATGATCAGCTGAGAAGGACTTGCTGCTAAGCAGAGTTTCTGTGGACAGGACGTTTTGGGTTTCTATGGAAAGCCTTGCCAACTGTCATGATCATTTCAGAAAGTGTGAATATGGAGAAAAGAACTCTGCAATGAATTTGCAGAATCTACAGCTTTATAATAAGTGCCTCTAGAGTAAGAGCACTACAATTGTCAAATTTTCCTCAGTCTTATAAACACTCTCCTAAGGGGAACACTAAGTCAAGGGTCTCCTAGGCTCACCGTGAGGTGTTGCGCTGGGATGATGATGATGGGGTCACGGGGTCCTTAGGACTTCTTGCTGGCATAGGAGATGTGGATGCATCTTTTCTAACTCCTGTCACTGTCTCTGTATAAATAATAAAAGAAATAATTTGAATATTCAATAAAAGAAATGAAAAGTTCATTTCACATCACAAAGGAAATCATTTGGGGCTTCCCAAAGTCTCGACAGCTGATTTTTCTCCTGAAATGGAACAATGACTGCTGTGGGATGTTCTGTATGTCAAATGTGTTGCTAATTAGTCAATAATTAAAACACTGATTGGCCAGTGGCCAGGCAGGAAGTGTAGGCGGGACAAGGAGGAGAATAAAGCTGGGAAGTGGAAGGCTGAGTCAGAGAGACACTGCCAGCCGCCACGATGAGAAACAGCATGTGAAGATGCCGGTAAGCCACGAGCCATGTGGCAAGGTATAGATTTATGGAAATGGATTAATTTAAGCTGTAAGAACAGTTAGCAAGAAGCCTGCCACGGCCATACAGTTTGAAACCAATATAAGTCTCTGTGTTTACTTGGTCGGGTTCGAGAGGCTGTGGGACTGGCAGGTGAGAGAGATTTGTTCTGACTGTGGGCCAGGCAGGAAAACTTAAGCTACAAATGGCATCCAACGTGGTGGCAAGAGTTTCCACCTAAAAACTGAGAAAAAAGATTCTAAAACGGAGCTAAAAACAGTTCCTAATTGTCTCTCTCAAATGAGCAGCAGCTGCCGGTTTGAGCTACTGGTGGGTTCCCAGCGTGCATGCTCAACCTGCCTTATGGCGGGAATGAGGTCTATGCAAGTGGCACATTAAGCTGCATGGTGGATTTAGCCTTTGCTAGTACAAAACAAAAAAAAGAGGTTTCTGGGCTACACGCTGCTTGGATAAAAAGCATAGACCCACGATAGCTCCCAGAGCTGGTGGTAAACGTAGCCATTTTGGGAAGCTGAGGTGGGCGGAGCCAGCAGCCACAGCTGCTGCAGCTTAAAGCAATAGATTCACAATAAGACAGATTCAGATGTAATAGTTTAAAATGTATGCAAAAATACGTAGGCTTGAAAGAGACAAAAAAGGTGATATATACAGTTATATAAACAAATACATAGTTTTAAAAAATAAAGTCTTTAAAGAGACAGTAAAATTAATATAGAAAATAAGCCACGTAAAAATGGATATTACACAGAAAATCTGCATTGTGTTGTCTTTGGGACTTTTAACTGCATAAAAACATTTCATTGTAAAAGCTGTTGAGTTACGCCAAAATATATATTTTAAAGGTATCTTGACTTCAAAATTTGAATATAAGGATATGTTACTTTGGAAAGGAGACTCTGCTTTTGTTCCCACAGAAAGCCAGAGGCTATGGATTTGTTCCAGATTAAGATACATCAGGTTTGACCAGCCAAGACCCCCTGAAAGGTCTCCGATGACACCATGGCCCAGATGATCCAACATCCAGAATGGTTTGAAGGCAACTGGCTCAGACGATACACCCTCATGGACTTTTCCATGATCCTAAAATTTTCTTTGTATCCCCATAAGATACAGCGCCCCCCTCCAGCAGGAAGTAGTAAGAGAAGCTACGCCCAAATTCCCATATTATATGTAATTTTACTTTGTTAAGGTTAAAACCTTCCTTTTTTAAAAAAAAAAAAAAAAGAAAAGGGGGGGAAGTGCTGTGGGATGTTCTGTATGTCAAATGTGTTGCTGATTAGTCAATAATTAAAACACTGATTGGCCAGTGGCCAGGCAGGAAGTGTAGGCGGGACAAGGAGGAGAATAAAGCTGGGAAGTGGAAGGCTGAGTCAGAGAGACACTGCCAGCCGCCACGATGAGAAACAGCATGTGAAGATGCCGGTAAGCCACGAGCCATGTGGCAAGGTATAGATTTATGGAAATGGATTAATTTAAGCTGTAAGAACAGTTAGCAAGAAGCCTGCCACGGCCATACAGTTTGAAACCAATATAAGTCTCTGTGTTTACTTGGTCGGGTTCGAGAGGCTGTGGGACTGGCAGGTGAGAGAGATTTGTTCTGACTGTGGGCCAGGCAGGAAAACTTAAGCTACAAATGACAGATGAAAAATTCCTTGTTGTTTTGTTTTTATACATATCAATGATTTACATTGCCTTACTTAAAAACAAACAAAATCCACTCATCTGTACAATAACAGGTAAGTTATTTTGTTTTCTGACATATTTGCCTGTCATATTTCTGATGATTTGGCTTTATTATGGAAATGTCTAAGAAGTAAGCTGTCTTCATTTGTTCTTTAACTATTAACAAAAATGTTTTTGCTAACCAAACAGAAAATCTTAGCAACTTGCATCTCTACATCTTTCGAGTTGAAGGATTCTCTTTAAAAGCATTTAAGATTAGACACAAATATCTCATTTCTTTTAAAGAAGTCTGTATTGGACTACAATTATTATGTGAAAGACACGATTAACATACCTTCAGTGTAGGGTTCTAAGAAATTCCTAAGCAATAATTTATCTTTCTACAGCATGGGCTGATCTGGCCCTTGTTCCTTTCTAGGAAGTACTGATTAGTTGATTCATTACTTTTCACTTCCAAATGTTAAATAAAATGATAATAGTAATGAAAGGAGGCATTTTTTTCTTTTTGGTTTTATCTGTCTGTCTGTCTGTCTGTCTGTCTAGTTTACATATATTTTTTGTTATTAATATGCCCTGGCTGCAGTTTCCTCTCCCTTCATTTCTCCCATTCCTCCACACCCCTCCTTCCCTCCCCCTGGACCCATTTCTCCTCCATTTCCCTCCAGAAATGAGCAGGCATCCCAGGAATATCCACTGAACATGGCATAACAAGATCAGTTAAGACTAGGCACAAACCCTCATGTCAAGGCTGCATGAGGCAACTCAGAAGGAAGAAAAGGGTCTCAAGAACAGATGAAAGAGTCAGAGACACCCCACTCCCACTGTTAGGGGTCCCACAAAATATCAAGCTAACAACTATAACATATGCAGAGGACCTAGCGCAGACCCATGGAGACTCCATGATTGCCGCTTCAGTCTCTGTGGGCCTCTATGAGCCCTACTTAATCTTTATTTTTGGTTTTATTTTATATTTACTACTTTTCAACAACACAAAATATCTCTGGCTTTATTTTGGAGGACTGTGAGAATTCTGTCACAATTTCCCTCTTATTCCTAGGAAACTGCTGTCCAATATGAGTTAAAAGTGTATTTGGGAAGATCCACTCTTTCTTATAGGAAAGAATGATGTGGTGGTTTGAAAGAAAATGGCCACCAAAGGGAGTGGTATTTTAGGAGGTGTGGCCTTGTTGGTGGAAGTATGTCACGGTGGGGGTGGGCTTTGAGGTCTTTTTTGCTCAAGCTTCCCTCAGTGTGACTGTCAGTCAACTTCCTGCTGCCTTCTAATCAAGATTCAGCACTCTCAGCACCATGTCTGCCTGTACACTGCCATGCTCTCCACCATGATGATAATGGACTGAACCTCTGAACTATAAGTGAGCCACCCCAATTAGATGTTTTCTTTATAAGTTGCTATGGTCATGGTGTCTCATCACAGCAACAAAAACCCTAACTAAGATAAGTGAGTATCTACAACACATGAAATAAGCTTTGGAGTGTTAGGAATACCAGATCCCAAAATGCCAAAAGTGCAAAGCATCTGTCTTTTCCCCCAAGACTCCTCTGGATACATGTGAAGTTGATACCAACTCCCTGTCTGGATCTGGTCCTACTCTATCCCTCTCTATGTCTGGATCTGGTCCTATTCTATCCCTCTCTATCTCAAGTTTTATCTTTTCTAGAAGCTATTTTTCTTCATAAAAACTTTTGTCATAAATATTACTTTGATATCAAATTGACAATAAGGAAAATTAAAGATATGGGACTTATGTGGCTGGCTTAGGGTAACACAGATACTAAGGCAGGAGCCTGTATCCATTTCCAGGCAACAGGGAGGGTTGTCCCCATTATCTTTCACAGCTGTTGTAGCAGTATGTAAAGTATGAGGTATTAGGAAGTGAGAGATCACCATATTTAGCTGTAGGAGTTGGGAGGGGATACTCTGACATGGAAGGCAGAAGTCTGAAAGGAAGAAATGAAGAGCATGGAGCTTGAAGCAGAGACTTACATTAACAAAAACAATAAATGAAAAACCTCAAGGTTGAATATATAGTTTATTGAAGAAATATTTGTTAAAAACGACTACATGTTGATACATTCCTAATGACTACTTTGAGTTATTATTTCTTTTAACAGTCTCAGGTTCTTGTCCTGCAGTGAAAATGGAGTGCGTAGCCAGCAGTGCACAGGTGTTGAGGGCGACACTGGTTCAAATGCAACCAGGTCTGCCGGACAGATGTCTAGTCACCCTGTTAGCTTGGAAAGGCAAACCATCACACCACCAACACAGTGCCTCACTGTTCTGGACAGGTGAGTCTGGTGGCAGACTTAAGGACAGAAGGAATAAAAACTGAAGAATTTAATATTACAGAGAATTCAGGACAGACAGGAGAGAGGAAGGGGATGAAGACAGGTAATAAGTAGAAACAACTGAATGGGTCTAGGGGTGAGGAGAGAGGGAAGAGGACATTTCTGGGAGGAAAAGACAACAGTTATCTTTAGTCACCATCTTGGAACAAAACACTGGTCTGTTTAGTTTTGATATTTCTGTTAAAAGTTGGTTCTGACAAGTGACTCTTGATGGAGTGAAACTGAAGAAAGGAACTTCCAGAGGATTCAGGGGACTTGCCCACTTCAAGAATGTACTTCAGGAAGGGATGGGATTCCTTGGAAAAGGAGGCATAACAATTTTCATACATGTAGAGGAAAGGACCATAGCTTTCATCAAATTCAGAAGGGTATGGATCCCAAAAAGGTCAAGAATGTTGCCTCTCAGGTATAGATCAAGTTTATTCTCTTTTAACTCTCGAAACGTTTTTAAAAGTTAAGTTTTCAAAAGCCATGTTAGTTTTTAACTATATTTGTTCCTTTGATAAATTCTGACTTAATATTTAGTGTGTCAGCAATGCTGTAGCTTTATGTATTCACAGAAATATACAACCCTATACAATTAGAAACACAAATACATACAAAGA